ATATATATGCACACACACATATGAAGTGCTGCATAGCACCCCTAAGAGGGTGAAGGAATTTACTGAGCCAATTGCCTGCTCTTCATGCTTTGTCACATATTTGCAAAAGAAAGGTCAACAGAAAAAAAATCTCTGCACTTTGTTTACTTCTCAGAATTTATTCTTTTAATACAATTTAAACATCAAACATATTAATCATTACTTTCACAGCCAAAGAAATAATTTGAATTTACTACCAGGTGTCAAAACTTTTGCACTCACAGAAAAATGGAAATGATTATTAAATGTAGCGTCCTCAGATTTCACATACATATGTAGTTGTGTGTAATGAAAAACACAGGCACACAATTTTGCATTGTAGTAGATCCTCGAGCCAGAAATACTATGTCAAATATCTGGTGTGACCATGTCGCAAGTAATTCCAACAATAAAACGTACTAGATCAGTGACTTGCAATTGTGCGAAGTACTGTACTTTCCAGTTTTCAAATTATATTCCTCCTCTCTGTTTGTCTCTCTGCCTTTGAGTGCATGTTTAGGTGTTTTCATCACCCTTCTACCCTCAGCTAGGGAACACAGCCTCCCAGTCATATGTGTGAATCACAGGAAATGGCTGGAGTGTATCCTGTTTCTGGTGTGCTGCAAAGGAAAGCAACAAACATACAGATTCAAAAATTGAGTTTTTAAACATGGCTTCTCTCACGACAGACTCACTTAATCGTAGAGGATGTGGGGGGTTATAGGAGTGCAGAATACCATCTGCCCTCATCTTTGAGCATTACAATGAAGTTCACATAAGTAGATGTCTGATCAGATTCCCATGCAGACAATGCAATGTGCTGCGGAAGATGGGTGGTGTGGGAAAAACACAAGGTAGACCTTTGTGTTTAGTGGGAGGCATCATCCTGGGCCAGTCTCTGGTGCTCCATGTTTGGTCTCTCATTCCAGAACAAGAGATCCTCACAAGTGAGGTCACCTTTAAGATCACCACCAAAAGGCCTGATTCTTTTCTTTTTGTTTTCCTAGTTAGTTCCTAATCCATAAGGGTAGGAGCGCTCTAAACATTACAGGTAATGCCTCATCGACTCATAAAAAAATACAGCAATCAATTAAAGCTCCTTTTCTAATTTTTATATTTTAAGTGTAACTACTGGTCTGAATTTAAACGTGTAGTGTGTGCACTGCATCCTGTACAGCTGATGAAGACAGATGCTGACTTAACGTTGACATTCTGGGGAAGCCGTGTTCCTTCCTCCAATACTTCTTTAGGTTTATCCATATGGAAACACAAATAGTCAACAGCATAGATCAGTTAAATTATGATATATCCTGTTAACAGAACTCAACTATTTTAAATTACACATGATTAATTACATAAGAAAATGTAGGAAGTATATAGTGAGGCTCTTAAAAGCTAGTCAGTCTTCTGTATTTATGGGTTGTGTCAATTCAAACAGTAGATCCAAAATATTCAGAAAAAAATCTATACTTAATATTCACTATTATGCCCTGAACAATAGTGTAAGAACTATTTGTGTATCATTTACATTACTTTGGGTATTATAATTAGATAATGATCTAGAAATGAGATAATGTGGGAGGATCTACACAGGTTTTATGCAATCTTACTATTTTCTTTCTTGTTTTGGAGACAAGATCTTGCTATGTTGTTCAAGCTGGTCTCATACTCCACACTCAGGTGGATCCTTCTACCTGTACTATGCCACTGTATGGTACTTGAGTATATGTGGACTTGGGAATTTTGTGGGGGTGGGGAGGAAACCCACTAAGAAACACCGTAGATACTGAAAGCCCTGAAGGCCCGGTGTATGAATGCTTTACTAAAACAAAGACTGTTAATAGTTGTGTGATTCCTGAATTTTGGGTTAAATCTGTGTTTCTAAGGCCCAGCTAAAAGAATAAATGAGAACAGAGTGATAAGTAGGGATTGTGGTGAATATATGCTTTTAATGTAATTTTCAACACTACAAAGGGCATAGAAAACAAGTTACTGGTTTATGGTCCCTGGATATAGGACTCATTTCTTTGTGTTTTTATAATTCTACGCAGTTTCTACAGTAACAATGTAATACTTTTATAGAGTTGTTTACAAACTCAAAGGCAGCCACAGCACTAAAATTCAGAAAAAAGAAGCCTTTTTATCTCATCCATGGCAGAGCATATAGGCCATTATTATTTTAACCTAGAAGTAAATAAGGCAAATGGAGAGCAGTTTTTGACAAATTTGTAGTACTGATAATGAAAATTTAGTTCACAAATGAACTAAAGGTAGACATTTTTTTAAAAAATCTTTTCTTTTTAAGAGATGTGTAAAGTGAATTTGCCCCAATGACATCAAAGGGAGGACTCAAGATGAGGTGGCAGAAAAGGTTTGTGACACAATGCCAACAAGATAAGTCTTGGGCCTGGGCTTTCTAAGGTGCATAACCCATGTTCAGAGGCCTAAGCAGTATTGGTTCCCACAGTAAATCCATTCATACAACAAACAGTAAAGAAAATTTAAGTTGAATGGACAGGAGATAATACAGATGGGAAAACTCAATGGGATGAAGGAAAGTATTCTTTTATTTAGTATTGGCAAAGCTTAGGCCCAACAGCCAGCAGTTGTGGATGGGTGGGACACTGCCACCAGGACTATTCAGGATGGAGACAAGCTGTATTACCAACAGCTACTTTTAGAGGTGCTGCTTTCAGAGACATTTTTAAACTGAACCAACCCGCTCACAGTGGCCCTAGGCAGTGAACCTAAGTACCTAAAATGCATGTGCCATCTACATGAGAAGACAGTGTAACTGAAGACACAGGTTAGGTAAAGTAGAGATGACAAACAAGTGCAGGTTTGACTGGCTTCAAAACCTGTGCAAGATCCTACTCAGCGGCTGGGTGTTAGTCATCAACCCTTCAAGCTGGATCACAGGGACACTAATCCAGTCTTTTTCCTCTTTCACATGCCCATCCTAACAAAAATTTCCAGATATCAAAAGGAGCTTAGTGCTTTCAGAAGCTACACAAACAATCCCTAATTCATAACAGGGTATAGCTTAATTAGTCAAATATAATAATAAAGTAAAATATAATAATAAAGAGAACAGAATTCTCAACTGAACTACTCTTTCATTAGGTAGTTTGTGATGTGTATATATTTGAAAGAGGTTAACATATACACTCATTATGTTCATAATCCAACTTCAAACAAAATACTGAGTTTTATTTATTATTTCTGTTTTAGCATATTCTGTTAGAGAACTAGAAATTTGTGATCACACCAAGGTCCACAACCCTTTAAAACAACTAACTGTTTTCCATACAAATCAATGGTAAGAACCTCTGATGTGACACCCTGAGTCTTCACTGTCACAAGACATTCCGTTCAGGCCTCTTAAAACACAATCTCCATCTAGACACATCACTACCAAGTTCTCGGAGAAGAATAAGAAACCGAAATAGATTAAATAAATAGCAAACTGTATCTACTAAAATTTAAATAACTTGGGCAAATCACCAAAATCCTCTCACAGCGATAGTCATCCATCCTTATTTTAATTATAATTTTTTAAAATTTAACATCCATTTTTTAAAAAGTGTATTTTGTCATTTTTTATTTTTTGGTTTAATGTTTTTATATTTATAAGTCAAAATTATGAATAAAGTCCAACATAATTCTAATATACTTTTAACCTGATTTCCATTTTTAGCAAGTCAGGAGAAAGAAAAACAAAAGGCAACAGTCAGGGTAAAAGGAAAAAAGCTACAAATGTAGGCAGAACTGGTAAACAGCTACATGAAACAAAGTGGAAAATCTACCAAGCACATGACTTTATTAGAATCACGAAAGAATCACTGTGTAACTGTTATCCAAACCATCAAAGTTATACTCTATTCAGAATAATTCACTAATATTTCTACTCAAAATTAGTGTTAATGTTCAAAATAAAGTTAAACAATTTCCTCACAAGTCATACTAAGTCTAACTCTTCAATATACAAAATAAGCACTTTTACAAAAGGTACAGATACATGGAAACACAAGCAACTTTAATGATTTATGGCAAACAAAAGGAAGCTTGAATCTCTAAACTAATTTCAAGTACAGTAAATTTACACAGTAAGTACAAGTGCAAGTTTCAAGAGCTAAACAAACCAACTGGGGTCAAAACAAATGTTTAAAGAAATACTTAACAGTAAGGGGGAGAAACCATACGGAGGACAACAAACTAAGAAAATGAACCAAGGAATATGAGCAGGAGACTCCAAAGGTATTTTTACAAACTAGAGTTCAGCTGCAAGTAAAATACAAAAACCTGTCCAGGACTGTGACCTAGAAGGCAACAGAAAGCAACTTTACAGAACAAAAACAACAAAATCCCATGGTCTTCAATTATTTAATCCAGACATTAATTACCTAACTCCTCAAATTCTTTGGTGCAGTGGTGTTCATCATCATTCTCCATCAGAATGAAATGTGGGGTGAACACAACAATGGTTCTAAAGGGAATTTGAGAAATAATAAAGTATACATGTTTACAGTAAAGATACAGCTATAAATACTTAAAAATAAGTAAATGAACATGATAAAATATGTACCATGAGCCTAGTATTGATTTTTACTGTCAGAAAAATCCCAATACTGATATACTTCAAATCATGATTTCTTAATGAATACACATGATTTTAAAAGGACTAAAAATAAAACACACCAAGAAAATTGTAAGAAATTAAAAACAATGCAAAATGAAGACAGTTGCAGACAAGAGAAGTTAATATCTGCAGCAGCACATTTAGATCAAGTACTCTCTTCTCATTGTAATAAAGTCAGAACAGTAATTCAACAACATTCTCTGTTTACTACAGGATGACAAGTATGGCAAGTATTGTTGCTGGGGGCAGGAATGGACATTTTTCATGAAAGAACAGTAAAAGTTTAAATAGTAACAGTATCATTTACAGATTTAATGAACAGTTCTGATAGCCTATCATTAATCTTTGATAGCTGATAATTGGAATAAAAGGACACTATGAAATAAAAAAAGAACACAGATCATTTTTAAGAGGAAAAAATCATTTTTGCAGTGCCACGGATCAAATCTAGGACCTTGTACGTGCTGAGCAGGTGCTCCACCACTGACCTGTACCCGCAACCCCACCATAGAAAAACTATTAAAAGCAGTCCTAGCACCTAAATGAGAAATGCTGAATGCATTCCTCATCTGGCATAAATTTTTTCCAATACAAAGAAAAACATGTGAATGACTACCTATCTGTGAAAACGTGAATAACAAAATGCAATGGCTGAATTCTCACAAACTGTGCAAGTTCAATTTAAAATGTGTATCTGATATAAAATTCAGCTGTCAAGAGGAAGCAACTCGAAGGACATCACACAGTTTATGAACCAGCTGGAAGGAGCCATCCAGACTTTACCCTGCCGAACCCTTTCTGGGCGATAATTAGATAAATCTTCATAGATGATATACTGTGTGCAGAAGCGCTGATCCGAATCGGGTTTGGCATGATATGCGACTGTATTGATGGTCTGAGTCACGTCACTGTCTGGCTTGGGCTTTCTACTGAGGACCTGGCCCCCTGCTGCAGCTACCAGCCTAATGAGATTGTCCTTTGGATGATGTTTGAAGGGTCCCCCAAAATAGAAGTAGCATCCATCAAACAGCTTAGGCAACTGAAATAACAAGAGAAAAAAAAAGCTATTAAGAGCAGATCAAAATATTTTAAAACACTGCAAATGAGTGAAGGAAATAAAAACAATAGTCAAGAGCAATTAAGAAGCTACTTTATGAGCTGCTGGCACAAGTTGTATTTCACAACTGAAACAACTGGATCAACAAAAATACTTATGCAAATAAGGGTTTCCTATTGACAATTTATTTTTCCTAAGATTGAGTCACTATCTCAGATCCTTTTTAGGCTCCTAAAAAAAGTGACAAAAATAATTATTCATCAATTTCTTTTGTCAGGATTCTTATAAATACCTAGGATAGCTGAGATATGCTTCAGGAATACCAGGTTAAACTTAATTAAACTGTGACAGGAATATCTTTTTGATGGACCATCCAATTTTGTCCATCCTGGGCTGGTGATTTAGCTCAGTGGTTCTGCCGCGCAAGCACAAGGACCTGAGTTCAATCCCCAGTACCAAAAACAAAAAAGCAAATAATTTTGTCCACCCATATTCAGGATGGCCTGCCAACTTAAGTCTCTTAAGGTGGGTCTCAGGGGGTTCCTGAGATGTACTGTATTGCTGTGGCACAAAAGATTATGAAGGCATGCTGAGGGATCCAATCAGCGACACAACACTTTTGTGTGCTTCATGGAAAAACAAAATTTCACAATTCTTTCCTATGAAAAATTTTCATTCCCGTGTTTGTGTGTGTGTGCTAGTACCCATTAAATTGGCAATATGTGGCAATAAAGACATATGGCAACCAAATCCGAGCAGCAGCTGTAAGTCTTCTCTCAAGCTACTTCCTGTATCTGAGATTTACTTCAGATTCTGAAAGGTTTATGGGAATGTTCAAGATGCCAAAAATCCATTAACAGTATGAAATTTATTAACCTTCTGGATTTTACTGCCCATTGTGATCATCTCTTAGAATCAAGTACTTGAAATAAGCACAATTAAAATTTTAATCAGTCACCTGTACTTGTTGAAAGGGCAGAAGTTTTTCCTGACGGTGGTGATAATATGAACTCATAAGAGTAAGGAAAGTAGTATCAAAAGAAAAATACCAGCTGTTCTCTGTTGAGCCTGCTTCTCCATGGACCTTCAGGAATTTCGTATTTTTCTTCCTGGTCACAGACTTTTCTTTGTAGACATGCTTTCACCCCTAAAAAAAGCAAGGAAAAATAACAATCACTATCAAGTGAACATTATTTCTCTCACTGAAATTAAGCAAAATTATCTGGGTTTTTTTTTTTATGGTTCATCTAAGAAATTTTACTTGTTCCATAATAAAATATAATAAAACTCACCTTCCATATTAAAAAAACTTAAGAACTCCTTCCTTCAGAGGATTATGCAATGAATTAGTACTGAGCACTAATTTTAATCTCCTTTATGAAAAACCTAAACCAATACACTATTTCAAGCACAAGAATAAAAACTGACAGTTTTACTAATAGCAATTACCAAAACTAAGGTGAATAAAAAGTCCATCACTGAGTCCAGTATGCAAGAGTCTGAACTGAGCACTTACTTTTGTTTTTTGGTTGTTTTTTTTTTTTGGTACTGGGGATTTGAACTCAGGCCCTTGCCGCTTGCGAGGCAGGAACTGGAACCACTGAGCTAAATCCCCATCCCTGAGCACTTACTTTTGACTGCTCACTGTGGCAGCAAAAGTCTAATGTCTGGTCAGACTGTATGACCCAACATTAGGAAAGTGCTTTAGCCTTTGGTGCCTAGCTGAGCTGACCATACAGCAGGGCTCCACAGCACCTGTTTAAACAAGTAGACTAGGACTTGCTTCTGATTTAACATTGAAGTCATTACTTCAGAGAAAATTTGGTTGGGCTCCACAGGGAAAAAGAACATTCTTCTGATGATTTGGATAACTGTACCCAGTTTCAGGTTAAAAAAAAAAAGTGAGAGTAACAGAGTTAACCGTTTGGTGCTGTTAGGAACCATTCCTCTATCCTAGGTGGGGAAGCACTCAGCTGGCCCATTAGCTTTCTGCCAACACCTGCAGTCTGCCTAAATTCTAGAAATGCTGCAAGGCCTCAGGAATGTCTCTGGCCAATCAAGATGGGAGAAAACTAGAGGTCACCACTGAGGGTAGGAATTGATGACATGTATATACAGAAACCATACTCCAAAGTTTGATGGCATATAATAAACTAAACTTGACATTTGAGGTCAAATGACAGTTATCCTAGTAATTTGCTTTGGGATAGTTATTTAAATTCCTTAAGCCTTTGCTCCCTTGCTCATTAAAACAAAATCAGCCAAACCAAGCTTCCACAGATAAAATGCAAAAAACATTATAGAAACTGGATTCTATAATAAATTATCTTCATTATAAAAATAAAAACCTTCATGCATTTGTCTTTGAGATTACTTAATAACCTCAGACAAAATTCCAAAAAAGAGTTACTGCAGTACGTTATAAGACTTCAGAGTAGAAGCCCAAATTCTTACTCATGTTTTATATTCCTGCTGTTTCGTTACTTTTTGGTCCCATAATCGAATCTAAACATTCATTAAAATAGAAAGGCTTAATTTAAATAGAAAGTGCTTAATTTAAAATGATGGCTGATTTTTTCACTTACCACTGAGATGAGCTCAAGTTATAGCACATAGATGGTAACGTTACACTTGTCCCAAAATTTAAAGAACTTGAAAACAATGTAGAACAATTTTTATTCTAAATATTTTTTAAAAATTGCCAATCAAAATATTCTGGAGGAGCCAGGCGTGGTGGCACATGCCTGTAATTCCAGCACTCAGGAGGCTGAGGCAGGAGGGTCACTGTGAGTTCGAGACCAGCCTGGGCTACATAGTGAGTTCCAGGTCAGTCTCAACTACATAGTGAGACCCTGTCTCAAAAAACCAAAAAAAAAAAAAAAAAAAACCCACAAAATATTCTGAAGATGTTTTATTGCTACTTCCCTGGGCACAAATAGGTAAAACATGAGAAGAAGCTATCTGTTTACATGTTAAGTGTATCATCCTTACACCTGTAAATCCAGTAAGAGAAAATTCGCATAAATTTTCATTAGTGGAAAACCATCACAGCAATATCATTTTATAAAAACTATAAATGTTATCTAATATTCATCCTAGGAGCAGAATGCATTATAATCTTAATGTATAAACATCATCCAATACTCTCAAAACCACAATTTTCCATGATTAAAAAATATTCATAATTACAAGGCCTGACCAAATGTTTAAAAGAATAGAAAACTAATGCTAAAATTACATACTAGTACTTTCTGGTTAAACGAGAGAACAAAGAAAAATTCCTTAAAGCCCATTTTTATTTTTTAGGAAATGTCTATTCTAACTTGAAATTACCGGGGGTATAATTATACTTGTTCTAAGGAAAGACTCTCATGAAAATTGATTAACAGTTACTATCTCTGTTATCAAATCCAGCAAGATTGGGAGAGTTGATGCTTGCTATCTACAGTAATCATGTTCTGTGAAGATGCTGTGAATATGAATTTGTACATACTGAACTACTGCTCCTAGCGGGAACACAGGGATAGGGCCCTGTGAGCGCTGGCCCCAGTGTTTTTGTAAAGTGACTCATACTTAACTTGGTCTTACGTGTTTATGTTTAAAGGCACCTTAGTTATTCTGCTGTGTTGATTCATTAGCATCAAACTCACAGCCAACAGTAATACAATTCAGGACTTGACAAAGCTTCTCTCTCCAACAAATAGTTTCACTGAAACACAAAGTCTTGAGGTTTGGAAAATGAGCCAGTGCTGCAACTTATATGCAAGGGCCATTTTAGGCAGTAAAAACAAAAACACAAAACTGCAAAGAACATGGCTCTGATAAACTGTGAAAGGAACCTTTGTTTAGAGTAAGAGCTAAAAAAAAAAGGTGGCAAAGTGTCAACCTGCTGGCAGCTCAGCAGCTGGCAACATCCTCATACAGCAACTCAAAAGTGTTAGCCACTATGCATACCTCTACAAAAGCAGTGTGACTATTGATTTGAAGATTATGACAATGCAGCAAGTAAGCAAATTCAGAAGTGCAGTATCCACAACAACGAATAATGAGGATTTACTATGTATTATTTCCATTTCAGGGTAAGAAACAAGTGTAAAGAAGTTAACTGGCTTAAAGTCATTCCACTAAGTGGAAATTCGACTCCGAGTCCACTTAGTTTTCTAAAGCCTATGCATTTTACACTAAAATACAGCTTTCTAGTATACAAGATAAACCTTGGGCTCTAAAAGGCATGACTGAATATGCTGAATGCTTTAGAGTGGCTTTGGGTGTTCCAAAATGTTTAATATATAAAAGTAACGAGATTTCAACAACTGAATATTCCATCTCTCCAAATACAAAGCTTCGCCAAGAGACTGAATTTTTCCTCGACTTGAGACTGTTGAATGTTATTCAATTTTCAATGTGTGTGCACACACGGACACAAATACTCAGGGCATCCTTAATTCCCTATCACCTAGTTTTTTGTTTTTTTTTTTTCCTTTATTGGTACATTTTAGGTATACAATACAGTTACATTCATTGTTGGGATCTTGTACCTTTACATAATGTATCTATCTTGATTCTTATTTTTTCCCCATTCCCCTGACCTTCCTTCACCCCCTCTACCCTTCCCTATTTAACAAAGATTTTGTTTCCATTTTTTAACTTTATTTTTTTCTTTTTCCTTCTTAGCTTTCCCCTATCCCTCCCATTTCCCCTACACCTTTGGACCTTTTTTCCTATTACACAATGTCAATTATACATTTTGATGCTTATTTACATATTTAGTTTATTACATCAAAGAAACTGTTTGGTATTTACACAACTGGTGCAACCCTATCATGTAGTTCTTAATTTGTTGGTTCTAATTGCACTTTGTTGCTCAAAACTCCTTCCCCAATTATTTTTAATACAATAATGGTTATCGCCTCAGTTTGGTAAGCCGACTTTCTAAATCCTATTGTAAAAATATCTTACAAAAATTGTTTTTGCATATAAATAAAATATTTTAAAAATAGCACATTTAAAATTGCTGAGTAAAAACCTAACAAAGCTATTATTAAAGAACTTAATGTATATGAAAATGGGACTCAACATTTTTGGTAATGTCAAAATATCATCGGAGAAACACTGCCAGTAGAATGGTATCACATCATATACTCATTCCATACCAAACACCAGCACAGGAAATAAAAATAGTTAAGATGTGTTATGTACATGTACCAACTCCCAAACAATAAATGTAATCATTATATACTCCAAACATATATTAATTAAAAACTAAAAAGAAATGTGTATGAAAAAATAAACAGCAGCACAAAATACTAGCAATCTACCAAAACCATTGACTTAAACTCATTACTTTTCGTGTAATTATTTTAATTTTTTAGTCCCCTAATCATGGGCACCTTTCTAAAATTCCTTCCTACAATTTGAAAAGCATTCATAATAATAACTTAAGATGAAGGATTATGGCACATTTGAAGCCAAGAAGCTAACACTAACACTTCCATTGGCTAAGGTCTAACCAGAGGTAAGTTAAAATGTGCCTATGCTGGCTAACCCAATCTAGAAGTTTATTTAGCTGATTAAACTCTGACAAGGAACACATTAAAATGGTATTCACTGGTCCTAACAATGTGCTGATTGACACCTGAGTTAATTAAGTATAAATAAAATGGCGACAGCAAAGAAGGTCCATGGCTCTATTTGGGAGGGCACCCAGGCTTTTACCATGTGAAAATGTCTCAATTAATACAATTTCTAGCTCAGCAGCAGTGGATCAGTCAATTTCTGTAAAAGAAAAATCCAATGCTCTTAATTACATTTACTGAATTAAATACACTTTGCTGATTCCCTTCTTCCAACTCTATACTACCAATATCACTAAAGAATAAAATCAAAATGCTTATTCTTTCCCCCTGAAAACCAAGGAACAGTTTCCAGCCTATAACGTGTCTGAAAGGTGACAAAGTGTTTTAGTAGAACTACTGTCATAGCATAGAAAATCTTGAAAACTTTTTGAAAGTTAAGAGTGACATCTACTCCAAGGGTTACAACTTGAATATATACCACAGTACATGAATCCTAAGAGATTTAAGCAGCTTTCAGTGACACACCTGAGATGAGAATTCAGATCTCCTCATTTTAAATGCTAGCCATTTT